GAGCGCCCCCGTGCCCTGCGCAGCCCGCCTGCCCGCCCCGTGCAGCTGCGCAGCCCCAGGAGACAGACAGACAGACAGACGGGGCTCTGGGCGGCCGCCAGCGGCGAGCACGCGGCTGGCTTTGCGCGTCATGCAGCAGCAGCAGCCTCGAGCACAGAAATACCTTCGTCTTCGTCCCCGTCATTATCGGCTAAGTCCTCGCCCTGTTTCTTAGCGCTGGCTCCTAGGGACCAAACACGAGGAGACAGAACAGGAAAGGAAAACAGAACACAAAACAAGAGAATTCAAAGAGAGCGAGACAGCAGGGACGGGGCCGCCGCCCGCCCGCCGGGCTCCGCACACAGCACCTCTCCAGCTGCCCGGGCTCTGGCCCGCCCGGGCCCCTCGCCTGCAGGGCCTGCACACCTGGGCCGTGGCCTGGGGAAGGGGCAGGAGCCATGGGCTGGGGCCACTCTGGACGCAAGCAGGAGGGCCGTGGAGCCTGCCGCATGCAGGCCTACCCAGGCGTCTGCCCACGTACCTGCCTCCCGTGCGCCCTTCTGGCTGCCTCTCCTTCCCGAGCGCCGCATGCTGCCCCCACTGCCTCCGTGCCACAGACAGTGCTCAGCCAGCGCTGGGGCAGTGCGGCCGGCTGCACAGGTTCGCGTGGTCAGGACCCGAGTATTGCGTTGCATGCCCCCGCTTTGGGCCAGAAGCGCCTTTGTTCCCCAGGCACCGGCTGCCCAGGCCCCAGCCCTCCAGGCTGCAAGCAGGTGGTGCCGCGTCTCTCGGGCACGGAGCACCAGGAGGCCCATGTGCAAGCAGCTGGCATGTGCCCACCCCCCCGCACGACTGCTGCTGCAGGTGCTGGGCCTGCTCACAGTGGGTTGCCTGTCTGCATGCGCGGTGCACGGGTGGTGGCAGCAAGCGCCAGAGCCTCCCTCGCACCTCGTGCAGCCCAGGGCACACAGCCTGGGACCACAGCCCCCGGGCGTCCTGCACTGCATCAGCAGGACCTGCTCTCCCCCGCCCCGTGCCGGGCAGCGGGGTCACAGGGAGCCAGGCACCAACAGGCAGACGGGTTGGAGGTCTCCGCCCCAGCTCCCCCTGCCTGACCACAGCCCCTGCTCTGGGCCGAGACCAGATTAATGCTCCCTGAACTGCCCCGGGGCTGCCTCTGCCCCCACAGGCACCTCGTCCAGCACAGGGAGAGGGGGCGGTCAGCCCAGCAGGGCAGGGAGAAGCCTCCCCCCATGCTCCAGCCAGCGCAGGGCCCCTGTGAGACCAGGGACCCCTGGCCAGGCCAGCTCCACAACTCGCCTGCCACACCCTGACACCTGGGCCACAACTCCCTCTGCCTGCCACCCCCTGTGCCGGCTCAGTCCCTGCCTTGAGCCCGGGCTGCAGACGCCCTCCGCCCCAGCAGCCCGTGCCCTGCAGACCGCAGCCGACGCGGCGGGCCCCAAATGCCGTGCTGGCCCCGGGGCTGCAGAGTCGCTGCTAGTGCCGAGTAGGTTGCAGGGGCCAGGCGCCTGCAGCCGGCAGCTTGCTGGGACCGGCTGCACAGGGCAGGCAGGCTGTGCCGCTGCACGGTGCGTGCGGAGAGCCCCGCGTGCTGGAAGCACACGCAAGCAGCCTGTGGTGAGCCAGTGCAGAGCGCAGGCGCGCCGCTCGGTGACACCGGGGCAAGGGGAGCCCTCAGCCCGGAGCAGGGGACGCCGCAGCCTGGCCAGGGGAGCCTGGTGCCAGGAAGGCACAGGGGGAAGCCTGACAGCCCCCACCTCTACACCAAGAGGAGCAAGGCCCAGGCACCCCGTGCAGCAAGGGCACACAGGGTGCCTGGTACCGTGCTACGAGTCGCCCAGGCCGGCGGCTTGCTCCGTGCTTCCCTCCCTGACTCAGGTGACCCCGGGCATCTGCAGTGCAGAAGGCAGGGCAGGCTCCAGGGGTGGGGGCGAGACCCCACACTGCAGGCGGATGGGCCCAGGGCCCTGGCCTTCCCCAGGCACTGGCCTGCATTCATGCCTCGCTAGGAATACATTGACACCTGCCCGGTTATGCGCGTGGCCTAGAGCTCCTGCAGCCCTGGGACACATGGGAAGCCCAGCAAGCCCCAGGCCTCTGGCTGCGTGTGGCTGGCCCAGGCACCCCACCGTCCCCGCAAGGGCTGGCACCCCTGAGCACTTGGCCTTCAACTGCGGGAACGGCACATGCAATGGTGGAGGCCAGATCCCCCAAGGAGGCTCCAGAGCAGGGCAGAGCCTGCCGGTCTGGTCACAGCCTGCTGCAAAAGACCCAGCTGTGGGGGGTCAAGGGTGCGGGGAGGGAGGCTGCTTGCCAAAGCGGGCAGGAGAGGCTGGTGCTGAGGCTGCAGGCAAGGGACAGGGACAATTTTCCCTCCCCAGTGCTCCTGGCGCTCTCAGAGCCAGTAGCACGGGGGCTGCGGTGCTGCCTGCAGACGCAGCTCTGCGTGGGACACGGCTGCTGCCCCAGCACTCGCTTCACCTGTGCCAGGCTTCACTTGCAGCCTCTGTGCCCCCAGGGCAGCGACCCTGGCCAAGAGGCCCAGGCCAAGGGCGGATCAGAGCTGGGGGCACGGTCTGGCTCAGCCGGCCCCTCCAGGACCTCGCATGGGCCCTGCCCCGCCAGCACCTTGCTTGCTGCTCCCGTACGAAGCACAGTACAGAATCCCAGAGCCGTGTAGGGGCTGGCAGGGACCCCAGCGGTCGCTAGCGCAGCCCCTGCCGGAGGCAGGATCAGCCCTGTCCAAACCAGGCCAGGCACACCCATCATCTAACCTCTTCATAACTCTGCGGCCAACCCTGACACAGCACAGACATTGCACCCAAACCTGCCACCGGGAAAGCAGGGGGCCACAGCGGCCGCAAGGAGCGATTCCAGCAAGAGGCCATGCAGGCTGTAGAGCAAGGCAACTCCCTCCCCAGCCCAGACCAATCTGACCGGGGGAAATTCTTTTCAGACCCCAAATCTGGCATCGGTCTCAGCCCGAGCACAGGGGACAGACCCCCTAGGCAGGACCCTGTGGGGTGGGTCCCGGCAGGAGGACTGGCACAGTCCCATGCCCAGCCTAGGGTGCAGCAGCTCACAGCGCCTCTGGGGAAGGCTTCCAAACCCCCTGACATAGGTAGCAGCAAGAGGGGAAGGAATTCCCTCCCGGTCCCTCCCATGTGGCAGCCAGCAAAGCCGGGACGCCTGGGAGATGCCCACAGCAGAGCACAGGCAGCACGATGCCTAGATCACCCCTGCCCCGCGCCTGTCCAAGCTCTTTCACACTCCCAGTGACGGAGAACCTGCAGCTTTCCTGGTGCCTACCCCACGGCCTCCCTGCGCTGTAGTAACGTTTCCCTGAACTCGTGTCAACCTGCTGTGCTGCAGCTGAGAGCCACTGCTTGTGCATGCTCTCTGCAGCCAGAGCGGAGGCGCTCTCCCTCCTCCACGGGCATGGCTGCCATGTCCCCCTGCTTGAGCAGGGGTTGCGTCCATTTCCAATCACAGAACAATGCTCGTGGCACAGCACATTGTGGGCGTGGCAGAAGTCAGCGTCGGGCTGAGCGACCTGGTGCAGGGGCAATGTGCCTTTACCAGCCCCCAAGTGTCTCTGCGGGAGGCTCGGGGTCCTGTGGCCTGTTGCTTGCCCTCCCAGGCTCAGGCACACGCCCCACGCCCCACGCCTGCATCCTGGCCCTGCCCTGGTGCTAGCCCACCAGGTCTGGACGTGCCCAGCAGGGCCTTGCTCACCAACGGCCGTGCACAATCCCCTGGTCCGTGATGGGCAGCGGTGCAGGGGATGCCAGCCCTGCACTGGGTCCCGTGGCACACAGCAGCTCCCCTGGGGCAGGGGCATGCCTGGCAGGCAGTGGAGGCTGGCGCAGCAGGAAGAAGGGCTCGCAAGGACCAGGAGCTGGTGCCACCTGAGAGGAGGCTGCCTGCCTGCTTGGGAGGCACGGGAGAGACTCGCTGGTGTGCCACCCCGATGCTGGGAGACTGAGGGAAGAGCCAGCCCAGCACCGGGAGGAAGAGCAAAGCAGCCAACCATGGCACCGGGGGGACCTGCCCCATGCCAAGCCCAGCTGCATGGGGAGAAGGTGCTGGGACCTGCCTGCCACCCACCAGGTGCCCGAGCCCAGGTGGGCGAGGGCAGGACCGGCCCTCGCATGTGGCAGCTGCACAGGGCCACGCACATCACCCCGCTCACCCCAGCCTTTGGGAAAAGGTGTCCTATCCCTGCGGCTGTCGGGGAAGCAGCTGCGGCCTGGGCCCAGGGCCTGCACTGCACTGACCACAGTGGCTGCAGGCCGGGCAGCTGGGACAAGGACGGCTCCAGGACCCTCCCTGCAGCGTGGTGGGAACAACCCCTCGGCACGGGACCCAGACGGTCCCAGCCCTGCCTCTGGGCAGGCCGGCGGGGCGCAGAGCACAGGCGGTGTGTGACCAGGCTGGGTCACACAAGCCCGGAGCCAGGCTGGGCCCGGGGGCAGACAGCCTGGGTGCCGGGGCAGGCAGGGCCGGCACCGGCGTGTAGGCGCAGGGGGGCAGGCCCCAGCACTGCTGGCAGGACCCCCAGGCACAGGCACGTCCGGGCGGGCCCAGCCCCACGGCACGCGGGGCAAGCAGGCTGCACAGATGTCGAGGCCCCTCGGTTCACCCCATTCCCGTCCCCGGGCCCCGGCTCCTGTCCCTGTGAGTGGCGGTTGCCCTGGCCCAAGCTGGCGGCAGAACCGACCTCCCGGTGCCGGCCCAGCCATGCCCTGGCGAGGGAGCATCACGCAGCCGGGATGGCCAAGAGGCCCCTCGGAGCAGGGCGGGCGGGCGG